AGACAGACAGACAGACAGACAGACAGACAGACAGACAGACAGACAGACAGACAGACAGACAGACAGACAGGCAGACAGGCAGACAGACAGAGAGACAGGCAGACAGACAGACAGACAGAGAGACCGGCAGAGAGACCGTCAGACACCAAATCAAAACAAATCAAATCTTATTTGTCACATACACGTGTTTAGCAGATGTTATAGCTGGTGTAGAGAAATGCTTGTGCTTCTAGCTCCGACAGTGCAGTAATATCTAACAAGTAATATCTAACAATTTCACAACGTACCCAATACACACAAAACAAGTAAGGAATGGGATTTAAGAATATATACACTGCTCAAAAAAATAAAGGGAACACTTAAAGAACACAATGTAACTCCAAGTCAATCACACTTCTGTGAAATCAAACTGTCCACTTAGGAAGCAACACTGATTGACAATACATTTCACATGCTATTGTGCAAATGGAATAGACAACAGGTGGAAATTATAGGCAATTAGCAAGACACCCCCAATAAAGGAGTGGTTCTGCAGGTGGTGACCACAGACCACTTCTCAGTTCCTATGCTTCCTGGCTGATGTTTTGGTCACGTTTGAATGCTGGCGGTGCTTTCACTCTAGTGGTAGCATGAGACGGAGTCTACAACCCACACAAGTGGCTCAGGTAAAGCAGCTCATCCAGGTTGGCACATCAATGCGAGCTGTGGCAAGAAGGTTTGCTGTGTCTGTCAGCGTAGTGTCCAGAGCATGGAGGCGCTACCAGGAGACAGGCCAGTACATCAGGAGACGTGGAGGAGGCCGTAGGAGGGCAACAACCCAGCAGCAGGACCGCTACCTCCGCCTTTGTGCAAGGAGGAGCACTGCCAGAGCCCTGCAAAATGACCTCCAGCAGGCCACAAATGTGCATGTGTCTGCTCAAACGGTCAGAAACAGACTCCATGAGGGTGGTATGAGGGCCTGACGTCCACAGGTGGGGGTTGTGCTTACAGCCCAACACCGTGCAGGACGTTTGGCATTTGCCAGAGAACACCAAGATTGGCAAATTCGCCACTGGCGCCCTGTGCTCTTCACAGATGAAAGCAGGTTCACACTGAGCACATGTGACAGACGTGACAGAGTCTGGAGACGCCGTGGAGAACGTTCTGCTGCCTGCAACATCCTTCAGCATGACCGGTTTGGCGGTGGGTCAGTCATGGTGTGTGGTGGCATTTCTTTGGGGGGCCGCACAGCCCTCCATGTGCTCGCCAGAGGTAGCCTGACTGCCATTAGGTACCGAGATGAGATCCTCAGACCCCTTGTGAGACCATATGCTGGTGCGGTTGGCCCTGGGTTCCTCCTAATGCAAGACAATGCTAGACCTCATGTGGCTGGAGTGTGTCAGCAGTTCCTGCAAGAGGAAGGCATTGATGTCATGGACTGGCCCGCCCGTTCCCCAGAAATGAATCCAATTGAGCACATCTGGGACATCATGTCTCACGCCATCCACCAACGCCACGTTGCACCACAGACTGTCCAGGAGTTGGCGGATGCTTTAGTCCAGGTCTGGGAGGAGATCCCTCAGGAGACCATCCGCCACCTCATCAGGAGCATGCCCAGGCGTTGTAGGGAGGTCATACAGGCACGTGGAGGCCACACACACTACTGAGCCTCATTTTGACTTGTTTTAAGGACATTACATCAAAGTTGGATCAGCCTGTAGTGTGGTTTTCCACTTTAATTTTGAGTGTGACTCCAAATCCAGACCTCCATGGGTTGATACATTTGATTTCCATTGATCATTTTTGTGTGATTTTGTTGTCAGCACATTCAACTATGTAAAGAAAAAAGTATTTAATAAGATTATTTCATTCCTTCAGATCTAGGATGTGTTATTTTAGTGTTCCCTTTATTTTTTTGAGCAGTGTACATACAGTGGGTTGAACAAGTATTTGATACACTTCCGATTTTGCAGGTTTTCCTACTTACAAAGCATGTAGAGGTCTGTAATTTTTTATCATAGGTACACTTCAACTGTGAGAGACGGAATCTAAAACAAAAATACAGAAAATCACATTGTATGATTTTTAAGTAATTCATTTGCATTTTATTGCATGACATAAGTATTTGATACATCAGAAAAGCAGAACTTAATATTTGGTACAGAAACCTTTGTTTGCAATTACAGAGATCATACGTTTCCTGTAGGTCTTGACCAGGTTTGCACACACTGCAGCAGGGATTTTGGCCCACTCCTCCATACAGACCTTCTCCAGATCCTTCAGGTTTCGGGGCTGTCGCTGGGCAATACGGACTTTCAGCTCCCTCCAAAGATTTTCTATTGGGTTCAGGTCTGGAGACTGGCTAGGCCACTCCAGGACCTTGAGATGCTTCTTACGGAGCCACTCCTTAGTTGCCCTGGCTGTGTGTTTCGGGTCATTGTCATGCTGGAAGACCCAGCCACGACCAATCTTCAATGCTCTTACTGAGGGAAGGAGGTTGTTGGCCAAGATCTCGCGATACATGGCCCCATCCATCCTCCCCTCAATACGGTGCAGTCGTCCTGTCCCCTTTGCAGAAAAGCATCCCCAAAGAATGATGTTTCCACCTCCATGCTTTATGCTTGGGATGGTGTTCTTGGGGTTGTACTCATCCTTCTTCTTCCTCTATTTTGGTCTCATCAGACCACATGACCTTCTCCCATTCCTCCTCTGGATCATCCAGATGGTCATTGGCAAACTTCAGACGGGCCTGGACATGCGCTGGCTTGAGCAGGGGGACCTTGCGTGCGCTGCAGGATTTTAATCCATGACGGCGTAGTGTGTTACTAATGGTTGTCTTTGAGACTGTGGTCCCAGCTCTCTTCAGGTCATTGACCAGGTCCTGCCATGTAGTTCTGGGCTGATCCCTCACCTTCCTCATGATCATTGATGCCCCACGAGGTGAGGACTTGCATGGAGCCCCAGACGGAGTGATTGACCGTCATCTTGAACTTCTTCCATTTTCTAATAAATTGCGCCAACAGTTGTTGCCTTCTCACCAAGCTGCTTGCCTATTGTCCTGTAGACCATCCCAGCCTTGTGCAGGTCTACAATTGTATCCCTGATGTCCATACACAGCTCTCTGGTCTTGGCCATTGTGGAGAGGTTGGAGTCTGTTTGATTGAGTGTGTGGACAGGTGTCTTTTATACAGGTAACGAGTTCAAACAGGTGCAGTTAATACAGGTAATGAGTGGAGAACAGGAGGGCTTCTTAAAGAAAAACTAAAACAGGTCTGTGAGAGCCGGAATTCTTACTGGTTGGTAGGTGATCAAATACTTATGTCATGCAATAAAATGCAAATTAATTACTTAAAAATCATACAATGTGATTTTCTGGATTTTTGTTTTAGATTCCATTTCTCACAGTTGAAGTGTACCTATGATAAAAATTACAGACCTCTACATGCTTTGTAAGTAGGAAAACCTGCAAAATCGGCAGTGTATCAAATACTTGTTCTCCCCACTGTATATGGACAAGCAATGACAGAGCGGCATGGACTAAGATACAGTAGAATATTATAGAATAGAATGCAGTATATACATATGAGATGAGTAGTGCAAGATATGTAAACATTATTAAAGTGACTAGTGTTCCATTTCATAAAGTGGCCAGCGATTCCAATAGGCAGCAGCAGCCTCTAATGTGCTAGTGATGGCTATTTAACAGTCTGATGGCCTTGAGATAGAAGCTGTTTTTCATTCTCTCGGTCCCAGCTTTGATGCATCTGTACTGACCTTGCCTGCTGGATGATAGCGGGGTGAACTTGCAGTGGCTCGGGTGGTTGATGTCCTTGATTATCTTTTTGGCCTTCCTGTGACATCGGGTGCTGTATATGTCTTGGAATTCGGGTAGTTTGCCCCCAGTAATGCGTTCGGCAGACCGCACCACCCTCTGGAGAGCCCTGCGGCTGTGGGCGGTGCAGTTGCCGTAACAGGTGGTGATACAGCCCGACAGGATGCTCTCAATTGTGCATCTGTAAAGGTTTGTGAGGGTTTTAGGTGCTAAGCCAAATTTCTTCAGCCTCCTGAGGTTGAAGAGGCTCTGTTGCGCCTTCTTCACCACGCTGTCTGCATGGGTGGACCATTTCAGTTTGTCAGTGATGTGTAGGACAAGGAACTTGAAGCTTTCCACCTTCTCCACTGCGGTCCAGTCAATGTGGATAGGGGGGTGCACCCTCTGCTGTTTCCTGAAGTCCACGATCATCTCCTTTGTTTTGTTGATGTTGAGTGAGAGGTTATTTTCCTGGCACCACACTCCCAGAGCCCTCACCTCCTCCCTGTAGGTGGTCTCGTCATTGTTGATAATCAAGACTACGACTATTGTGTCGTCTGCAAACTTGATGATTGAGTTGGAGGCGTGCTTGGCCACTCAGTCATGGGTGAACAGGGAGTACAGGAGGGGGCTGAGCACACACCCTTGTGGGGCTCCAGTGTTGAGGATCAGCGAAGTGGAGATGTTGTTTCCTACCTTCACCACCTGGAGGCGGCCCGTCAGGAAGTCCAGGACCCAGTTGCACAGGGCGGGGTTCAGACCCAGGGCCTCGAGCTTAAATGATGAGCTTGGAGGGTACTATGGTGTTGAATGCTGAGCTATAGTCAATGAACAGCATTCTTACATAGGTATTCCTCTTGTCCAGATGGGATAGGGCAGTGTACAGTGTGATGGCGATTGCATCGTCTGTGGATCTATTGGGGCGGTATGCAAATTGGAGTGGGTCTAGGGTGGTAGGTAAGGTAGAGGTGATATGATCCTTGACTAGTCTCTCAAAGTACTTCATGATGACAGAGGTGAGTGCTACAGGGCGATAGTCAGACCGACAGAGAGACAGACAGACAGGCAGGCAGACAGACAGACAGAGAGACCGGCAGGGAGACAGGCAGACAGACAGAGAGACCGGCAGAGAGACTGGCAGAGACCGACAGAGAGACAGAGAGACAGGCAGGCAGACAGACAATCTCTGCCAAGCTAATATCACTCACCAGGTCTGTGTCTGGACCTCATAGCGATACAGCTCGTCCACCAGGCCATACTTGTTGGCAGGCAGGGCCTTGTAGCCCCCGTGGACGTACACACACCGGCTGGAGCTGTCATACACACTGCTGTGGCCATAGCCACCCTGGACGATGGCCCCGTTGGTTTCAGGGACCTGCCAGGAGTTTGTCCCTGTGTGACAGAGGCAGAAGAGAAGTGCATCTTAGTGTGAGTAGGTCAACATGATTGGATCAGCTTTGATACATACAGTATGGAGAAGAAGTGTGCATGCTTGTGAGTGTGCCAAACGAGTGTGTGTGTGTAAAAGACTGACTCTGGGAGACAGACCGAGCCAGCGGGAGAGAGCATTGGGCTGCTCCACCATGTACTTCAAGTTCCCTTATGACAGATGAAGGGAGGGATGGAGAGAGGGGGAGGCCACGGAACATGTGGATACACTGAGATGTATCCACAACTGGCAGACTCTACTCTTGAATGATGGCACTCTACTCTCTCAATGATGGCACTCTACTCTCTCAATGATGGCACCCTACTCTCTGAATGATGGCACCCTACTCTCTGAATGATGGCACCCTACTCTCTGAATGATGGCACCCTACTCTCTGAATGATGGCACCCTACTCTCTGAATGATGGCACCCTACTCTCTGAATGATGGCACCCTACTCTCTGAATGATGGCACCCTACTCTCTGAATGATGGCACCCTACTCTCTGAATGATGACACCCTACTCTCTGAATGATGACACCCTACTCTCTGAATGATGACACTACTCTCTGAATGATGGCACTCTACTCTCTCAATGTGATGAAATATCACAATATCCATAGTGCTCTAAATACAACTAATTATAGGAGAAATACTGTTTGCTCACACAGAGAGAGAGAGAGAGAGAGAGAGAGAGAGAGAGAGAGAGAGAGAGAGAGAGAGAGAGAGAGAGAGAGAAAGAGAAAGAGAAAGAGAAAGAGAAAGAGTGAGAGGTGAGTGAGACGGAGCGATATGAGGGAGGGGGGAGGGATGAGGGGAGGGGGATGAGTAGAACTCAGACACATTAATCATGTCTTCTCCCTGACGGTCCAGACTAGGTGCCACCTACTCTTAATGTAGAGAGAGAGAGAAGAAAGAGAGTGCTTGCGTGCACGAGGACCACTTTGAAAACAAATGTTATAATTAGTACTTGTAAGTGCTATCCTCTGGATCCACATTGCACATTTTGTTGTATATGTATTTTACCCAAATCAAATACATTCACAGTCTAGTACCCACTTATTTAACCCTGACCACTGTAAGTGTACCCTAGAGTACCCAAGACTGTAGATGTTCCCTCTTCAACTCTCCTATAGGCTAAAATGCTTTGTAATACAGGCATTCACCTGATTGTTACGCCTCAAAACGCGGTACTGCAGCGCCATCTGCTGGAATGAAAAACCTAAGGATCCCACAGCGGTCAAAGAACATTGACCAACAGCAGTCAAGAGGACAACCTTAAAGGCTCTGCGAATAGACCGTAGGTGTGTTTACCATCATAACAATAAGATTGTAACAGAGAACTATGCAAGTGCGGGCGCTACCAGAGGACTTTTAATGGGAATAGAGTGTTGTGGGTATACATGATAGATCCTGGGCCTTCCATTAAGAGATGAGTGACAGCAACACCCAATGGTGACTGAGTGGCGCAGTGGTCTAAGGCACTGCATCACAGTGCTAACTGTGCCACTAGATCCTGGTTCGAATCCAGGCTCTGTCGCAGCCGGCCGCGACCGGGAGACTCATGGGCGGCGCACAATTGGCCCAGCGTTGTCCAGGGTAGGGGAGGGAATGGCCGGCAGGGATGTAGCTCAGTTGATAGAGCATGGCGTTTGCAACGCCAGGGTTGTGGGTTCGATTCCCACGGGGGGCCAGTATAAAAAAATATGTATTCACTAACTGTAAGTCGCTCTGGATAAGAGCGTCTGCTAAATGACTAAAATGTAAATGTAAATGGTGACTCCAACAACAATGGTTTCTTCACCGAGCACCATGAAATGAATACAACGTTGCTGCGGTCATCTGTGGTTGATGCTGTCACTTTGCCTATTTTGGGGGTTGTAGGAATGTAAATCTGAATTAATTCATGTGGATTATTCATCATGGCTGAAAACCCCATTTAACAACCCATCCAACCATCCATCCACCCATCCATCTAGCCACTGTTGGACCTACTGATGTTGTACTCCTGCACTTTGCTGATGTAGCTGTAGACGGGGGAGTAGCCGAAGAGGACCACCATGACCACGTCCCCATTGGTCAGTTCAGCCAGGTGGGCGGAGTGTCCCTCCACGGCGTAGGGCTGTCCCTGGACCAGGCTGCTGGGGTTCTTCAGGGACCAAGTACGACTAGGGATGTTGAAGACCCACAGCTCGTCTGTCACGTTGCCTGAACCGGCCTCCAGCTTCCCCCCATACATGTAGATGTCGTCCTAAGGAGGGGGGCAAATATCAGAGGCATGAGATGAAAGAGGGTTAGGGATTGTGTTTGTGTAAAGACACACAAGATTAAAGGGGATTCTATCCACGACTGCCATCGACAAAATGTCTGCTTTATGTGTGTGTGTTCAGTATGAGAAGGTGAGACACACTGCATTCCACAGTGTGCATGCCATGCTTGCGTGTGTGTGTGTGTGTGTGTGTGTGCGTGTGCGTTATTGAGCTGCAGGGCCCTGAGCTTCTCCAGAGAGTGTATCATCTCTGGACCCCAATCACCACACACACACACACACACACACACACCACACAACACAACACAACACACAACACAACACACAACACACACATATAATAGCTGTGAACACCAACAATCAATAAGAAAGACTGCTGCTACAGCCCTCTCATACCGCGGTCAACTACTGGGCTTCTCCCCATACACTGAAATCACCTGATACTACAGATAACAATCAACTACCTTAACCTGATAGTTACTTTAATATGCTACTAAAACCTTTTCAGGCATCTTGGTACTTCAGCTGCAGGGATCTAATACAGCAATATAATACAGTCATAATGGCTATGGCATCTACAGTCATAATTGGTATGGCATCCTGTTTTTACAGTGCAGTCTCCTACTGTCCTGCAATGCTCCAGTTCATAAACATAGAGCAGCATACTGTAAAGCAGCTAGAGGAGCTCCGACCACACAGAAACAAAGAAAGGAACATCCTATCACAGGTAACACACAGTGTCGCTACACCGCAGGGAGCCAATTATACAGTATCCCTGGCCACAAACACATCCTCCATGGACCCAACAGCCTTAAGAGCCTCAATGTATTTTCTGTCAAGGAAATCTGGTTCCCTCCTTTTACATTACCTCAGCACACACTGCAGACCCCAACTGAATCTCTCACTAATCTCAGAAACCCAGAACTAAAATCTTCCACAATTGTGTCAGATGCTCAATTCAGTTCTGGAGGAGATGTTAGGAGAAAGATACTAACTCTATGCAAGTTTCAGGCTAGTCTATGGGCCAAATGTCCCCTCCCCTTCCGAAATTCGGAAGATGCGAGCACCTGTGAAATCGTGATTTGTCCAAATGACGAAAAATCGGCGTACCGCAACAAAGTTCCTCGTTAGTCATCGCATACCCACAGTCTGTTCACAGACGTCACGATACCATTTATTTAACGTGCCTCTGTCCATGACAGATTACTCTCTCACACACTGTCTGAGTCCTGTAGTAGAAGCAGTGGGGAGGGAGAGGAGTGCACAAAACACACAGTCCAACACACACTTCAACACACACTTCAACACACATGTAATTAGTAATCACATCCGGCTGCAGGAGGGTTTAACCACCACACCCCCAGCTGAGCAGTAACACCCACGCTTCCGTTTCCACCACGCGTCCCTCGGATGCTCCATTTCCGATAAAGAGGGGGCTTTTATTGAAGGTGGCTTTATTTGATTTTTCAATACAAAATGTGAATACCAAGCAGGGGATATTACAAAACACGCTATGATCTGAATGTATGCGTAAATACGAGCAATTGCTTCTGTCGGTATATTAAAATCAGAAACGGGCAAGCGACGGGCTATATTCCTCGCAGCAGCACACACTTACGGTAATCTCTCAATGTTAAGAGACATAGAGAAGAATAACATATTCCATGGTTGGATTACAGATTTGAGGGGAATGGTGTGTGTGGAGGAGAGAGAGTAGGGGAGTGTGTGTGTGTGTGTGCTCCCATCCTTGACCCTGGAAGTCTATTCTCTCATGTTCCCGTCTCCAGATTCCAGGTTGTTGTCTTGTATGTGTGCTGCACTAGCTCAGCATAAGCCTTACATGAAAAACCTCAAAGTAGGTGTTCATTTATATGCTAATTGTGGATTCCTCCTTTCCGTATGTGGGGCTGGTAGCTGAGGATCAGCGGCCAAACAAGGCGCCTCCCACCCACAGAGAAATTGAACAGAGTGAAGAAGCCGGGTTTTATAACGGAGGGGGGAAGTTACACAGGTACAAATATAATATGTCTGTACTGACCAGGGTTTCCGTTAGGAAAATGTGGTACCGGAAATTTGACTGGCAGCATTTTAATTTACCAGACATTTGAGAGATTTACCGGACCAATATGCATTGGGTGCATAACCTGATTAGGGTGTTCACCCACGGTGCTCAGAATGACAGAAATCCCATTTAGATTATGCTAATTCATATTAAAAGAACATGCAAGTCCAGGATGCAACGATGTGCGGTCCTTCTGACCGAATTCTGATGCGCACTTTGAAGATGTTAAAACAACCCTTCACATTTACTTTTCGTCAGCCAACAAGACGAGTAACGAACAGCAAAATCACTAACCTATGTCACTCTACTATCCCCCATAGTAGAAATGTTTACCTATTCTATTGGTCAGCTTGCCGAGAAATAAACTTTAAAAAGCAATGAGGCTGATGCAACAGATCAGAACATTTATCTTAAAATGTTGATAAACTCTTATTTCTTCACATTATAAACACAGCAATGTGCACAAGGCAGTAGACTATGTGTGAATGTTTGTTCCATAATGTAATTAGCAGGAAAACACTGTTGTCAAAATGTTATATTTAGAAAGAGGGGAGATTTAATATGCAACAACTAGATCTAATATGCAATGAAAGAAAGTTGATATAAAATAATTACCTCCACGGATATGGTCTGATTTTGGCTAGGCTACTTTGAAGCAAGAAAAGACATGCCTCATAATATGTAGTAAAACGTTCAGGTTTCCAACAATTAAGTATATGTTTTCTAAATGCATACTGCCTCCAGCTCATTGCAAAGTGGTGTGTGACGCGCTGATGAAGCCTGCCTTCCGTTGCCTATACATTTGCTGTTTGAGATGCCGTAGCAGCAGCTCTCGCGCTGTCTGACAGATTTTCTGCTCAAAGTGTCTGTATCTGTGTGATGTACGCGTGTGATAAATAAGATACATAACGAATATACTGTACACACGCGCCAATTTAACCTACAGATCAATAGGCATGACCAGTTAAATGTATTTCCATCGACTGGTATTTCCATCAATGAATAGGCTAAAAAACATTATTTCTCTATTTTAATTTTTCTTCTTCTCCAGAAAATTGACCGGCGCCAATTTTATTTATCGTCTTTTCTATTTTTCTATTGGCCAAAAGCCGGCTATTACCGGCTAACAGAAACCCTGGTACTGACATAATGATTAATATACAGTAGGGACGTTTCCTCCATTTCCTGAAAAGTTTCAGTTTCTGATGAACTGACACCTGGAGACACCAGTGGTACACCATTGTGAATGGTAAATAAACACTTGATGGGCTAAGTGTGTTCACGTCAATTAAACCAAGCATGGAACATGCAAAAGATAGGGGTATATGGAAAAGGTGGGCACACAGCCATGGCTGTCCACACATGTTGCACACACGTACACAAACACTCAAATAAAAATAAATGTATGCACAGCCGCACACATACACTGAAATACACATACAGACACACACACATTCCGGGTAATCAGTAGAAGAGTGAATGCCTGTTGACTTATGTGTATATACAGTATACAGTGAGGGAAAAAAGTATTTGATCCCCTGCTGATTTTGTACGTTTGCCCACTGACAAAGACATGATCAGTCTATAATTTTAATGGTAGGTTTATTTGAACAGTGAGAGACAGAATAACAACAAAAAAATTAACAAAAATGTTATAAATTGATTAGCATTTTAATGAGGGAAATAAGTATTTGACCCCTCTGCAAAACATGACTTAGTACTTGGTGGCAAAACCCTTGTTGGCAATCACAGAGGTCAGACGTTTCTTGTAGTTGGCCACTAGGTTTGCACACATCTCAGGAGGGATTTTGTCCCACTCCTCTTTGTAGATCTTCTCCAAGTCATTAAGGTTTCGAGCCTGACGTTTAGCAACTCGAACATTCAGCTCCCTCCACAGATTTTCTATGGGATTAAGGTCTGGAGACTGGCTAGGCCACTCCAGGACCTTAATGTGCTTCTTCTTGAGCCACTCCTTTGTTGCCTTGGCCGTGTGTTTTGGGTCATTGTCATGCTGGAATACCTATCTACGACCCATTTTCAATGCCCTAGCTGAGGGAAGGAGGTTCTCACCCAAGATTTGACGGTACATGGCCCCGTCCATCGTCCCTTTGATGCGGTGAAGTTGTCCTGTCCCCTTAGCAGAAAAACACCCCCAAAGCATAATGTTTCCACCTCCATGTTTGACGGTGGGGATGGTGTTCTTGGGGTCATAGGCAGCATTCCTCCTCCTCCAAACACGACGAGTTGAGTTGATGCCAAAGAGCTCGATTTTGGTCTCATCTGACCACAACACTTTCACCCAGTTCTCCTCTGAATCATTCAGATGTTCATTGGCAAACTTCAGACGGGCCTGTATATGTGCTTTCTTGAGCAGGGGGACCTTGCGGGCGCTGCAGGATTTCAGTCCTTCACGGCGTAGTGTGTTACCAATTGTTTTCTTGGTGACTATGGTCCCAGCTGCCTTGAGATCATTGACAAGATCGTGTAGTTCTGGGCTGATTCCTCACCATTCTCATGATCATTGCAACTCCACGACGTGTGGTCCTCTGTAGCTCAGCTGGTAGAGCACGGCGCTTGTAACACTAAGGTAGTGGGTTCGATCCCCGGGACCACCCATACACAAAAAATGTATGCATGCATGACTGTAAGTCGCTTTGGATAAAAGCGTCTGCTAAATGGCATATTATTATTATTATTATTATATCTTGCATGGAGTCCCAGGCCGAGGGAGATTGACAGTTATTTTGTGTTTCTTCCATTTGCGAATAATCGCACCAAATGTTGTCACCTTCTCACCAAGCTGCTTGGCGATGGTCTTGTAGCCCATTCCAGCCTTGTGTAGGTCTACAATCTTGTCCCTGACATCCTTGGAGAGTTCTTTGGTCTTGGCCATGGTGGAGAGTTTGGAATCTGATTGCTT